ATGATTCTCTCTGCGCTTTAAACAGACCTCTGAGACGATTACAGAGCAAATGCATTTATACAGAGACCTGAGTACAAACAGGTGGATTCTATTTATCTTCTGGAGAGTTTTCTGCTCTGAAAGTAAAGGAGCTGATTCATTTTGCACGCCCCACTATTTAGTTTTTTATTTGTTAAAAAAAGTTTAAAGTATCCAGTACATTTCGTTCCACTTCATGAGTGTGTCCCACTTGTTTTTGATTCTTCGCAAAGAATTACAATTTCATGTCTTTATTTTTTGAAGCCTGAAATGTAGTAAAGTGTTTGAATGCATTGTCTATTTGAGTAGTGATGAAACATTTAGCACCTCTTACTATCCTGTAGAAAACTCTGTATCACCTGATTATTAAAAACACCCTGGAAACAGAAGGATTCCCATTAATCATTTAGAGACTTAAATCCATTTGATAACGTAGCCATAATGGGAGACCAGCTAAGTGGAAATTTACCATATAATCCATATTATCTGCTCTGCATGTCCAAACATTTGAAATGTCTGGTTCAGGGATTCCAATCCTTGCTGAAAGTCCTGTCCAACATGTATCAGACTGAGCAGGTTTACTTGGTCAAGCTAAACTTTCTGCTGCTTTCTCCTAGCTGATGGGGACCCTCACTTTGTGGTGGAGTTTCCTCTCAATAACCTAACCGTGTGCTTTAACATCAATGGCGAGCCGGGGGACGTCCTCCGTCTGGTTTCTGACCACAAATATTCAGGTGAGCCTCATTAACCTTCTAACGAGAACAGAAACTTCAATAACCATACCTGGAGGAAATGTTTTTTCTGAGCCTCTGATGTTTTAGGACTCACTTTAGAAGACAGGTGGATGGAAAGGCATCAGGGAAAAACAAGTTTTTAAACTTCTGTTTCATTGGTTTATGCCTCTTTTTTTATTCTACCCAAGCATTGATGTTTGTCTTGCTTGAGATGAGTCCAAGTGGGTTAGGTTAGACCCCTTCATCTACGATACGGAGGGCTGTATCAAGCTCCAGGGGTTTAAAAAGTGATGCATTGGCATTTCAAGGGAATATGTATACTTCTATGGCACAGTTCAGTAAAAAGACTGTTTTAATTCTATTTAATTCAGTTTATTTCTATGGCGCCAATTCACATCACATGTCATCTCAAGGCACTTTATAGTTTACCAGATCATCTAGTCAGATTGATTCAAAGTTTTCTATCTAAGGAAAACCAGTTGATTGGATCGACTCATTGACTCTTCAGCAATCCCTCACTCTAAGCATGCTTGTAGCAACAGTGGAGAGGAAAAACTCCCTTTTAACCTTTAGAAACCTCCAGCAGAACCAGGCTCAGTGTGAGCGGCCATCTGCTGAGGCACACTGGGGTTCAAGGAGACAGAAGCAGACATAGAAAAAGCAGCTGTAAAAGGCGGCCCCATCCAGGAAAATCACAGCCAGGTAGACGAGCTCCGAGCCAGAGGATGAAGAGAGCACATCCAGTCACAGTCAGAGAAACAGGACTACACTGGAAAACAGGCC